ACGGGGCCAGAGGTTGAGCTGATGCGCAGCGTATCGGACCGCAAACGGCCACAAAAAGTGGGGGGCAGCCGCATGGATCAAGTGTCAGAGTATTATAGCTGATGCATGTTTGTAGGCTATAGTGGGGTAGCACATATGGGGTACAGGGTTTCTAGGGTTGTATTTGTACCCAATCTTTCCTCAGTCATTTCATTCCTGTTTTCCTTGTTTCACATGGTATAGAGCGGGTCCTCCCTTAGGACCGTTTTCTTAGGGCCCACCGAAGCGCGCCCCGAGGCGCGCATTTTTTTTAGCGACCCCTCGGGTCGCCTTTTCCCTCGCGGCCCCGCTGTCCCTCAGACGCGGCCCCGCCACCTCTCCTGATCGCGGCCCCGCCGCCTGCTTGACGCGGCCCCGCCGCCTCCCCTGACGCGGCCTCGCCGCCTCCCCTGACGCGGCCTCGCCGCCTCCCCTGACGCGGCCCCGCCGCCTCCCCTGACGCGGCCCCGCCGCCTCCCCTGACGCGGCCCCGCCGCCTCCCCTGACGCGGCCCCGCCTCTACTGCCGCGGCCACGGCCCGCCGCCTCTGACGGCCCCGCCGCTGCACCCTACGGCCCGCCGCTGCTCCTGCCGGCCCGCCGCCTCACCTGACGGCCCCGCCGCTGCTCCTGCCGGCCCGCCGCTGCTCCTGGCGGCCCGCCGCTGCACCTGCCGGCCCGCCGCAGCACCCAGCGGCCCGCCGCCTCTGACGGCCCCGCCGCTGCACCCTCCGGCCCGCCGCTGCTCCTGCCGGCCTGCCGCTGCTCCTGCCGGCCCGCCGCTACTCCTGACGGCCCCGCCGCTGCACCTACCGGCCCGCCGCTGCTCCTGCCGGCCCGCCGCTGCTCCTGCCGGCCCGCCGCTACTCCTGCCGGCCCGCCGCTGCTCCTGCCGGCCCGCCGCCTCACCTGACGGCCCCGCCGCTGCACCTACCGGCCCGCCGCTGCTCCTGCCGGCCCGCCGCTGCTCCTGCCGGCCCGCCGCTGCTCCTGCCGGCCGAGCCGCCCCAGCAGCCGAGCCGCCCAACGCCGAGCCGCCCGGGACCCGAGCCGCCCTGCTGCCGAGCCGCCCTGCACCCGAGCCGCCCAGCCACCGAGCCGCCTGGGAGCCGAGCCGCCCTGCGCCCGAGCCGCCCAGCCGCCGAGCCGCCCGGGAGCCGAGCCGCTGTGCACCCGAGCCGCCCGGTCGCTGAGCCGCCTTTCTGCATATCTACACGACTTGGTCTTTGCCACAGCGGACACTGCTGGACTCGCCTACGTGAAGTCCGAGCTGCTGAAGAGACACACGTGCACAGACCTGGGTGAACTGCGCAGCTACCTTGGCTTGCAGATCACTCGGGACAGAGCACGCCGCACCATTACCTTGACTCAGTCACACATGGTGCAGCAGGTCCTTCAGCGCTTCGGCTTCACGTACTCCTCGCCTCAGGCCACTCCTCTGCCTACTCGCCACTCACTCTCAGCTCTGCCTTCGGATGAGTCCGTAGAGTCGAGTGGTCCGTATGCAGAGCTTGTTGGCTGCCTCATGTACCTGATGACCTGCACACGACCTGACCTTGCATACCCTCTGAGCATCCTTGCACGCTATGTTGCTCCTGGGAGACACCGACCAGAGCACATGGCTGCAGCGAAGAGGGTATTGCGCTACCTGTGCAGTACGTCGGGCATGGGGCTAGTGCTTGGAGGGCGGAGTCCAGTGGTCCTTACCGGCCACGCGGACGCTTCTTGGGCTGACGACCAGGCTACACAGCGGTCGTCACAGGGTTACACCTTCAGCCTTGGTTCCGGCTCTGTCTCGTGGCGGTCTACTCGCTCGTCTTCGGTTCTCGGCTCCAGTTGTGAGGCTGAGATCTACGCCGGGGCCATGGCTGCACAGGAGCTTCGCTGGCTCACCTACCTGCTGACTGACCTTGGAGAGCCGCCTCGTTCTCCTCCAGTGCTGTACGTAGACAACAAGGCCATGCTGGCCTTGTGTCGAGAGCAGCGCTTGGAGCACAGAACGAAGCACATTGCTCTCCGCTACTTCCTTGCTCGTGAGCTGCAGCAGCGTGGTCAGTTGCGACTTGCGTACGTGGCCTCTGAGGCCAACACTGCTGATGTGTTCACCAAGGCACTCGCGCCTTGTGACCATCAGCGCTTTTGCACCCAGCTGGGTCTTGTACCTGTCTTGCCTCACTTGCTCTCCTCTTGACTTCACTTGTACTGAGACATATATATATATACCTGCTCTTGCTTGTCTAGTTTTATATATATGTCTGTACTCCTGCATGTGAACTGGCCTCTGGCCCTGCTCTTGTGCTCGGACTGTGTGGTGACTTTGTGATCCACCCTGAGCTTGCTTTGCTTTGCTTTGCTTGACTGGTCTTGTGACCCCTTGTTCTCCCCCACTTAGCCTATGGGGGTGTGTCAGAGTATTATAGCTGATGCATGTTTGTAGGCTATAGTGGGGTAGCACATATGGGGTACAGGGTTTCTAGGGTTGTATTTGTACCCAATCTTTCCTTAGTCATTTCATTCCTGTTTTCCTTGTTTCACATCAAGGAGGTACGAGCGACCTCCATGACCAAGCCAATGCGGCGCTCAGTAACCCCATTCTGTTGTGGAGAGGCCGGGAGCATGAACGACTGCTCAATGCTCTCCCCCTGACAGAAGGCCCTCAAGAGGTCGGAGGAAAACTCCCCACCTCTATCAGAGTGCAGACGCAGGACAGGAAAGTCCGACTGGAACCTCTCGCTGAGCTGGAGACGGGCAGTGCGGATCCAAGGGATCAAAACATCAGGGACTTCACCCTTGGTGCGCAAGGGGAAGACCGTGGTGTAGAGCGAGTAGTCGTCAAGAACTATCAAGAAGTACCTCTCGTGGCCCTGTCCACGGACGCGGGCTGGGCCCCACACGTCCATGTGGAGCGTCTGCAGGGGAGAAATCGTCGGGGGAAACGAGGAGGAGTGAGGAGCGGCGCGTTGCCGCCCCTCGACACAGGGAAGACAGGGAGGAGCAGGCGAGGGTAGTAGGGGAGGGAGAACCCTGGGAAGACCAGAGACAAGGTACCGGGAGTGCATACCACGAAGGCGCTGCACTGACGGGTGACCAAGGTGGTGGTGCCAGAGGACGATCTGGTGCGACAGGGAGCGACACGAGCAAGGGGCCGACAGCTGACTAGATGCAGACGCAGACGCAGCTACCGAGGTGACTCAGTGGTCAGTGTGTATAGGTCCGACCTCGGCTGCCGAGTAAAAGTAGCCAGGTGGCGACACGTCCTAGCACACGTGCAGTGTGTCACGCGCTCGTAGGCAAGGGTGAACTGGTGGACACCCCCATCCTGGAGCGCACTACCCGCCACCAAGTTCGTAGAGAACGAGGGGAGGTAGAGGCCTGACAGTGTGCCCGACGGGACCGCAGGACAAGGAAGGACAGTGGAGGAGGTCGCACTGACCAGACCCCTAGAGGGGTCAGCGAGGGAGACTGCAACCGGCCGAGCAAGCTGCTCAAGGGCAGTGCGGTCACGAAAGAAACAGCGGGAAGCAGCTGAGTCCAGTGTGAAGGTGTGCAGTGCCTCTGTAGACGCAGCGGGCGCAGACTCACGAGCACCTAGAGCAGCAGCCTCACCAGTACCTGAGGCAGCAGATAGACTAGTACCTAGAGTGGAAGGCTCACAGCACCTGGGGCAGTAGACACACTAGTATGAAGTGCAGCAGCCTCACTGGTCCTAATGCTCGGGTCGGGCGGGACACGCAGGTAACAGTCACCCTCTCCACTAGGAGACAATACATACATGGCACCAAGGATAGCATCAAAGTCAAGAGCATAGACATCAATGTTTTTTTTCTATCAGATCAAACCAGCGGGGCAGCTCAGTAGCAGCCGGAAACTGGGTGCGCCAAGGGTCGTCGAGGCGGGAGAAGCAGTGCTGCAGGGTGGGTGCCCTCCCACACGTCTGACCAGTGCGTTCACCTGTGCGGATGCCATACGGGCAGCTAAGACCTCCCCCCCCACGCTGAGAGTACCACTCACGAAGCTCCTGGGGCGTCAGGGTCTGCTGCTGGCACTGGCCACCGCTAGAGCCTCCACGAGCTCCACCGCCGCCGCCGCCACCACGACCACCACCGCCACCACCGCCACCGCGTCCACTACCGCCACCACCACCGCCCCAACCCCGGCCACCTACACCGCCGCTGCCGTCACCACCCCCGCCGCTGCCAGTGGCCCCTCCAGCCCCGCCACCACCCCCACCGCTGCCACCTCCCCCACCACCGCCTCCCCCATCCTCACCGCCGCCCTTTGCCCTTGCCGCTGCGGCGCCTTGCACTTGCCCCCTTTGCCCTTGCCGCTGCGGCGCCTTGCACTTGCCCCCTTTGCCCTTGCCGCTGCGGCGCCTTGCACTTGCAGTGGACGCGGTCCCGACCTTCTCAGCACCAAGAAGGTCGACAGCAGCAGCAGAGGCGACAGACGGGAGAAGAGGGGAGGGGGAACACCCCTCGAAGAAAGGGGTGCGGGGGTCGCCGCGAGACGCACCGACAGCTACTATACTAGTCTCGGCTGCCAGCAGGTGCTTCTCAAGCAGGTCAATGGTGAGCTCGGTGGGGCATTGAGCAAAGAAGGTGTCCTTGACCGCACGAAGGGAGTGAGTTGTAAGAATAAACAAGAGTGATTGCACTAGGAAAGAGTTGGGTACAAGTAGGAAACCCTAAACTTACTATACCCCATAGTGACTACCCCACTACAGCCTAAACAAACTGTAGTAGACATAACATTTGACACACCCCCATAGGCAAAGTGGGGGAGAGCAAGGGGTCACAAGACCAGTCAAGAAAGGCAAAGCAAGCTCAGGGTGGATCACAATGTCACCACACACTCTGAGCACAAGCAAAGGGCCACAAGGCCAGGCAACATGCAGAGGCATATATGCAACACAAACAGCAGAGTGATCTCTCCCTAGCAAAGCAAGCATGCAGGTATATATATAGATCACAGTACAAGCAAAGCCTACAGCAAGTGAGGAAAAGTGGGCACAAGCCCTAGCATAGTGCAGAAACGCTGATGATCACCAAACTGAAGTGCCTTGGTGAATATATCAGCAGTGTTGGCCCGAGTGGCCACGTAACGCAGACGAAGCTGACTACGCTGCTGCAACTCTCGAGCCAGGAAGAAACGCAGAGCGATGTGCTTCATTCTGTGCTCCAGTCTGTGCTCCTCACACAAGACAATGGTAGCCTTGTTGTCGACGTACAGCACTGGAGGAGAACGAGGCCGCTCTCCCGAGTCACTCAGCAGGTAGGTGAGCAAGCGTAACTCCTGTGCAGCCATGGCTGTGGCGTAGATCTCAGCCTCACAACTGGAGCTGAGAACTGAAGACGAACGTGTAGAATGCCAAGAAACTGAACCAGAGCCAAGGCTGAAGGTGTAACCCTGTGACGACCGCTGCGTAGCCTGGTCGTCAACCCAAGAAGCGTCTGAGTGCCCAGTGAGGACAACTGAGCTCCTCCCTCCAAGCACGAGTCCCATGCCTGATGTACTGCACAAGTAGCGCAGTACCCTCTTAGCAGCATCCATGTGCACCTTTCGGTGCCGACCAGGTGCCACGTAGCGAGCCAGAAGGCCAAGAGGGTACGCGAGTTCGGGACGAGTGCAAGTGATCAGGTACATGAGACAGCGAAATAGCTCTGGGTAAGGACCAGTCGGCTCTACGGACTCATCCGAAGGTGGAGCTGAGAGCGAGTGACCTGTAGCCAGAGGAGTGGCCTGTGAAGCCGAAGCGCTGAAGGACCTGCTGCACCATGTGTGATTGAGTCAGTGTGATGGTGCGGCGTGCTCTGTCCCGGGTGATCTGCAAGCCAAGGTAGCTGCGGAGTTCACCCATGTCTGTGCACGTGTGTCTCTTCTGCAGCTCCGACTTCACCAGGGCGAGAGCCTCAGTGTCAGTAGTGGCAAAGATCAAGTCGTCAACGTACACGAGGATGTAGAACGGCGGCAGCGAAGTGTCGGTGCGCAAAAACAGCGACGTGTCAGCAGTAGAAGGCGCGAACCCAAGAGCCGCAAGTGTAGTCCGCAGTGTGTCGTGCCACTCACGTGGCGCCTGGCGGAGATCGTAGACCGGCCGCCGGAGGCTCCACTGGGTACAAGGAGGGAACGACCCAGTGAAGCCAGGAGGGCGGCGCAGCCAGATTTCCTCGTGCAGGCTGCCTTGCAAGAAAGTTGTGCTGAAGTCAAGAGAGTGAAGCTCGTAGTCATGCTGAGCGGCAATGTGCAGTAGCACCCGAAGAGTGGTCATCTTCGGGGTGGGGGAGAAGGTCTGGAAGAAGTCTACTCCCTCTCGCTGACTGAAGCCTCGAGCAACATAACGAGCCTTGAAGACAGGCGGAGAACTTGGCGGCCGCTTCACCCTGAAAATCCACATGCCACTGACGATGTTCGCCCCAGGAGGGGGAACCTCGGCGACGTAAGTGCCAGTGGACTTCCATGATGCCATCTCTGCGTCCATGGCTGACTGCCACTGTGAGGAGTACTCACCCGCAATCGCCTCAGCGTTAGAGCGCGGTGTCGGGATGTCTGGAGCATCCGGGTCTCCCTCAGGGGCAAGTACCATGGACACGAGATGAGGTGCAGCAGCTGCAAAACACTCAAGGTCCTCCTGCCTGTCCTCAAGGACGTCCGTGCCAAGAGCACACTCACCCCCGACGGACGGAGGATAGACAGACTCAGACTCAGACACAGCAACAAGACTCGCAGCGTAGTCTAGACGACAGTGAGCAGCAAAGTCGACAAGCTCAGCAACTAAGGCAGACGCAGCAGCTGACTCAAAGGAAGGGTCAGTGACAGTAGTGTCCAGGAGACGCGTAACAGTAGGACTAGCATCACGAAGAGAGTCAGAGTCTGGGTCATCAAGGGTAGGAAGAGAGGACGCAGGAGGAGAAGGCAGCGGGACACGCTGTGGAGCAGTGGAAGGACGAAGCGCCATCTGGTGAGTGCCTGCGACAGCAGGAGGACGATGACGCGGGACACGACGACCAGTGCGAGCAGAATGAACAGGTGACGCAGGCCGAGACACAGGCGACACAGGACGAGACTCAGGCTCACGACGCTCGATAAGACCGCCTGTCAGACCAGTGTAGGGAGAAGGACCAGGGAGTGGCGAGGCAGGTGGTAGCTGTGACAGCGACTAGACAGGAGGAGGACACTCTAAGGAGGGAGCAGGACAAGGAGGAAGCGGCTGACCAAGAACCTGCTGAAGGAGGGGAACGAAGTACGGCTGTAGCCGTGAAGTGCCCCCAGAACCAGCAGAGACAGCACCAGAACCTCCAGCAGCAGCTCCAACTCGCTCAGCACCACCAGCAGCTCCAGTACCTCCAGCAGCACCAGCAGCACCTCCAGCAGGACCAGCACTAGCAGCACCTCCAGCAACACCAGTACCTCCAGCAGCACCAGCCCCAGTACCAGCAGCACCACCAGCAGCTCCAGTAGCTCCAGTACCTCCAGCAGCACCAGCAGCACCTCCAGCAGGACCAGCTCCAGCAGCTCCAGTAGCACCCCAAGTCCCAGCAGCTCCAGTTCCGCCAGTACGAGCACCTGAAAGACCAGTGGCTCCAGCACCTCCAGCGCCAACCCGAGGGTCAGCAGCAACACCAACTCCATTAGGCTTAGCGCCCTCAGCTCCAGCTCCAATAGCACCTCCAGCTCCCACAGCACCACTGCGGCGGCGACAATACCGAGAGTACCACTCACGCAGCTGCTGGGAAGTGAGAACGCCCCCAGGTGCAGCACCCCCAGGCTCAGGACCTTCAGACTCAGCACCCCCAGGGACAACACCCCCAGTCTCAGCACCCCCAGGCTCACCACCCGCAGTCTCCGCACCCCCAGCCTCAGCACCCCCAGTCTCCGCACCCCCAGGCTTAGCACCCCTCGTCGCAGTACCCCCAGACCCAGCACCACCAGGCTCAGCACGCTCAGGCTCAGCACGCGCAGGCTCAGCACGCTCAAAACCTCGCGCAGGACCAGAGTCGACAGCTACCTCGACATGCTCGACCAGGTCTACCTGGGACACACCTGAGGGAGCAGGACCCTAGGGAGGCACGGGGTCTACCAAAGCAGCACCTCGCGTAAAGAAGAGCGGCGGAGGGGGGAGCGGGGCAGTGCGGTAGGGGAAGAGACGGTAAAAGGGGACCGACTCGTCAAACGTGACGTCCTGAGAGGGGAAGACACGGCGCGAGGTGGGGTGGTAAAACTGCCAGCCAGGCGCGTCAGGGACAAAGCTCAGGAAGACACAAGGAACGGCACGGGAGGAGAGCTTGTCCGCGGATGTATCGCGGACAAAGGCACGAGATCCCTAGACACGGAACACAGACGCATCGCCAACCGCTCCCGTCCAACGCAGTGTCGGCGAGGTCTCCGGAACGGAGACACGGGGCCAGAGGTTGAGTTGATGCGCGGCGTACCGGACTGCAAACGGCCACAGAAAATGGGGGGCAGCCGCATGGATCAAGGAGGTACGAGCGATCTCCATGACCAAGCCAATGCGGCGCTCAGCAACCCCATTCTGCTGAGGAGAGGCCGGAAGCGTGAACGTCTGCTCATTGCCCTCCCCCTGACAGAAGGCCTCCAAGAGGCCAGAGGAAAACTCACCACCTCTGTCAGAGTGCAGTCGCAGGATGGGAAGGTCCGTGCGAAAGCGCCCCTCCAGCTGGAGACGAGTAGCGTGGATCCAAGGGATCAATACAGCAGGGACCTCTCCCTTGGTGCGCAAGGGGAAGACTGTGGTGTAACGCGTGTAGTTGTCAACTACCAGCAGGATGTAGCGCTCTCCGCCCTGTCCACGGACGCGGGCTGGGCCCCACACGTCCATGTGAAGGGTCTGCAGAGGAGCATCCGTCGGGGGGAACTCAGAGGAGTGAGGAGCGGCACGCTGCCGCCCCTCGACACAGGGAAGGCAAGGAGGGGCAGGGGACGGTGGCAGGGGAGGTAGTGACCTGGGGAGACCAGAGACAAGGAAACAAGAGTGCATGCCACGAAGGCGCTGCATCGAAGGGTGCCCAAGGCGGTTCCACCAGAGGACCGTCTGGTGCGACAGGGTGCGACACGAGCAGGGGGCGGACAACTGACCTGACGCAAACGCAGACGCCGCTACCTGAGGGGACTCGGTGGTCAGTGTGTACAAGTCCGACCCAGGCTGCCGAGTGAAGGTAGCCAGGTGACGACCTGTCTGGGCACACGTGTAGTGTGTCACACGCTCGTAGGCAGGGGTGAACTAGTGAACACCTGCGTCCTGGAGCGCAGAACCCGCCACCAAGTTCGTAGAGAACGAGGGGAGGTAAAGGCCCGACAGTGTGCCAGACGGGACAGCAGGACAAGGGAGGGCAGTGGTGGAGGTCACAAGGACCGGACCCCCGGAGGGGTCAGCCAGGGAGACAGCAACCGGCCTAGGGAGCTGCTCGAGGGCAGTGCGGTCGCGAAAGAAACAGCGGGAAGCACCTGAGTCCAGTGTGAAGGTGTGCAGTGCCTCAGTAGACGCAGTACCTAAAGGCGCAGACTCACAAGCACCTGAAGCAGCAGACACACCTGCACCTAGAGCAGCAGCCTCACCAGGACCAGGGGCAGCAGACGCACTAGCACCTAGAGCGGCAGCCTCACCGGCACCTGGAGCAGCAGACTGGATACCGGGGTCAGGCGGCACACACAGGTGACAGGCTCCCTCGGCACTAGTAGACAATGCATACATTGCAGTAAGAATAGCATCATAGTCAAGAGCAAAGATATCTACCCTCTGCCTAAGCAGTTCCACCTAGTCGGGGAGCCCAGCGTCGTCGCCAAACTCTGTACGCCAAGCAACGCTCAGACGGGCGAAGCAGCGGGACTCTGTGTGACCACGCGTCCCGCAAGGCTGACCAGTCCGGACACCCGTGCTAATAACGTACGGGCAGCGAGCACTACTCAGCGACCCTCTACTCTGAGCGTACCATTCACGAAGCTGCTGGGGAGAAAGAGTCTCTCGCGGACGACGCTGCTGCTGCACAAGGCCACTACAAAAAGCTCCCGAACTACCCACTCTAGGACGACTCCCACTACTGCCACCCCGACAACCCCAACTGGCGTACCACTCACGAAGCTGCTGGGGCGTGAGGGACACACGCGGACGGCCCTGGAGCTGCATCTGACCACGCCAGGAGCAGTAGTAGAAGCAGGAGCAGCAGGAGCAGCAGTAGCAGTAGCAGCAGGGGCAGGGCAGTGCTCACCAGTGGTGGGAAGGGCAGGCGCACGACGGAGGCAGCTGCGGGGCCGCTACAACAGCAGGGCGGGGCCGCGACCGCGGCATGAAGCTCCGCGGCAGCTGGTGCAGGGTAGGGACAGGGCCGCGACGCTCGCTGCTGCAGGGGCGGCTGCTCCAGGGGCCAGGGGCAGCTCCTGCACTGGCGGCTGCTCTAGTAGCTAGGGGCGGCTGCTGCATGGGCGGCCACTCCAGGGACCAGGGTCGGCTGCAGGTGCGGCTGCTCCAGGGGGCAGGGGCGGCTGCTGCAGTGGCGGTTGCTCCAAGGGCCAGGGGCGGCTGCTGCAGGGTCGGCTACTCCAGGGGCGGCTGCTCTAGGGGCCCGGCGCGGGGTAGGGCAGGGCGATGCAGTGGGCAGGGGCGAGGCGGCGAGCAGAGCGACGCAGCGGGCAGGGGCGACGCCGCGGGCAGGGGCGACGCGGCGAGCAGAGCGACGCGGCGGGCAGGGGCGACGCCGCGTCAGCAGCTGGGCGCGGCCGCGTCAGTAGCAGGGTGCGGCCGCGTCAGCAAGAGGGCGCGGCCGCGTCAGCTGCAGGGCTGGCGGGGCCGCGTCACGGCAGGGCAGGGCCGCGAGTGCAGCCTGACGAGGCCGCGACTGCGGCCTGACGGGGCCGCGACTGCGGCCTGACGGGGCCGCGGCTGCAGCATGACAGGGCCGCGACTGCGGCCTGACGGGGCTGCGACTGCGACCTGACGGGGTCGCGTGCTGGTTTGACGGGCCTGCAGAGGCTGCGTGCGGGTGGCGAGGGCCTGTAGGGGCAGCGCGCGGTCGGGCAGAAGCTGCGCGCGGGCGGCGTGGTCCTGCAGGGGCAGCGCGCCGACCTGACGGGCCTGCAGGGGCGGCTCTCGGGCCTGACGGGCCTGCAGAGGCGGCTCAGGGGCGTGACGGGCCTGCAGAGGCGGCTCGGGGGCCTGACGGACCTGCAGGGGCGGCTCGAGGGCCCTACTAGCTTGCAGGGGCGGCTCGTGGGCCCTACTAGCTTGCACGGGCGGCGCACTGGCCTAGGGCAGCAGAAGGCAGCGCGAGGGCTGCAGGACGGCGCGCAGGCAGAACGAAGGGTGGGGCGCGCGAGGGCGCACGAGCAGAGAAAGGCGCACGAGGGCGCTTGTAAGGTAGGGCACACGAGGGCGCTTCTAGCGGAATAGTGGGCCCGTAGTAGTAAGCGGTCCTAGGTGGCAACCTAGGCTCGTGATACCATGTCAGAATGAATAAGAGTGATTGCACTAGGAAAGAGTTGGGTACAAGTAGGAAACCCTAAACTTACTGTACCCCATAGTGACTACCCCACTACAGCCTAAACAAACTGTAGTAGACATAACATTTGACATCAGGGAGACGGGTGACCAGGTGGTAAAGAGTGAGCCACAGTGGGGGGGGGTTCTTGGCAAGAAACTCAGCGGGCATGGCAGCACAGAAGCGAATCTCAGTAGTGCGGGGGTGAGTAATGAGGTCAGCAACGGTAGAGAAGGTGGACAGGTCTGGGAACAGGTAGGGCAACGAGAGGCGACCAAGCCAAGCAGAGGCAGGCGAGGAGTAGCGCGCAACTACAGCTTTGTACAGTGAATGAGCAGTCTTCTGCTGGCTTAAGTGTTCACGTTCATCTACCGGCAGGGAGTTGCGAATGGCGAAGCGAGAATGGGCGTCACGAGTCTGCCACTCGGAGCGGGCAGTACTGTGAGCAGTCGCAGAAGGGGCAGGAGCGAGGCCTAGCGCATGGTTATACAACGAAATATCCTCCTTAGCAGTGAGCTGGAGGAAGAGGTGGAGGTCCTCGAGCCAGGTGTCAAAACAGAGCGGGCGGCCCTCAGCATCGAAGGCTAGAACTGCAGGACTAGCCATAGTTTCAGTAGGAGCAGTAGGAACAACTACAGCAATAGCAGCAGTTAGACAGCACAGCGCGGCTCCGGCAGGGCGGCGCGGCGCGGCTCGGGCAGGGTGGCGCGGCGGCTTGCTCGTGCAGCCGCGCGTGTGGTTGTGCGTGCCTCCTAGCGTGCAGCGGCGCGTGCGGCTGCGTGGGCGGCTGCGCGTGTGGTTGCACGGGCGGCCCGTGCTTGCAGCTGTGCGTGCGGCTGCGCGTGCGGTTGCGCGTGCAGCTGCGCGTGCGGTTGTGCGTGCGGCCTAGCGGGCGGCCGTACGTGCGGTCGTGCGTGCGGCCGAGTGTGCAGCTGCGCGTGCGGCTGTGCAGGCGGCTGCGCGTGCGGCTGCGTTGGCGGCTGCGCGTGGTGTCGTGCGTGCGGCTGCGCGTGCGGCCTATCGTGCAGCTGCGTGTGCGACGAAGTGGGCGGCCGCGCGTGCGGCTGACGGGCGGTGCGTGCGGCTGTCCTAGGGGCGCACGACGGCGCTAGCAGGTGGGGCGCTCGACGGCGCGAGGAGGAGGGGCGCACGACGGCGCTAGGAGAAGGGGCGCTCGACGGCGCTAGTAGCGAGGCGCTCGACGGCGCGGCGGAACGGTGGGCCCTAACCAACGTGGGTCCTAGGTCCTGACCTAGGCGTCGGATACCATGTTAGAATCTAGTACTGCACGAGAATGGATGAGACTAGGCAACAGGGTGATACAACTAGGAAACCCTAGCAAGGATGTACCCCCTAAGGCTAAACCCACTATAGCCTACACAATATAGACATGTATAATGTTTGACACGTCCACTGCTGACTCGTCGCTATTTCTACGCACCGACACTTCGCTGCCGCCGTTCTACATCCTCGTGCAAGTCGACGAATTGGTCTTTGCTACTGCAGACACTGCTGGACTGGCCCACGTGAAGTCGAAGCTGCCGAAGAGACACACGTGCACATACCTGGGTGAGCTGCGCAGCTATCTTGGCTTGCAGATCACCCGGGACAGAGCAAGGCGCACCATTACCTTGACTCAGTGACACATGGTGCAGCAGGTCCTTCAGCGCTTCAACTTCACGTACTCCTCGCCTCAGGCCACTCCTCTGTCTATTCGCCACTCGCTCTCAGCTCTGCCTTCAGATGAGTCCGTAGAGCCGAGTGGCCCGTACCCAGAGCTTGTGGGTTGCCTCATGTACCTAATGACCTGCACTCAACCTGACCTGGCAGACCCTCTTAGCATCCTGGCACGCTATGTTGCTCCTGGGAGACACCAACCAGAGCACATGGATGCAGCTAAGAGGGTGTTGCACTACCTGTGCAGTACGTCGGGCATGGGGCTCATGCTTGGAGGACGGGCTCGAGTTGTCCTCACTGGTCACGCAGACGCATCTTGGGTTGACGACTTGGCTACGCAGCGGTTGTCACAGGGTTACACCTTCAGCCTTGGTTCCGGCTCTGTTTTGTGGCGGTCTACGTGCTCGTCTTCTGTTCTCAGCTCCAGTTGTGAGGCTGAGATCCACGCTGGGGCCATGGCTGCACAGGAGTTACGCTGGCTCACTTACTTGTTGACCGACTTGGGAGAGGCGCTTCGTTTTCCTTGAGTTTTGTACGACGACAACAAGGCCATGCTTGCCTTGTGTCAAAAGCGCAGGCTGGAGCACAGAAAGAAGCACATTGCTCTGCGCTACTTCCTTGCTCGAGAGTTGCAGTAGTGTGGTCAGCTTCGTCTTGCTTACGTGGCCACTCGGGCCAACACTGCTAATATCTTTACCAAGGCTCTTCAGCCTTGTGATCATCAGCGTTTTTGTACTATGTTAGGTCTTGTGCCTACCTGGCCTCACTTGCTTACCTCTTGACTTTGCTTGTACTGTGAGCTATAAATACGTGCACCTGCATGCTTACCCTTGCTAGGTTGAGATCTCAGTCTTGCTTGTTCACCTTGATTTTTAACTCTGCATGTGAACTGGCCTTGTGGCCATTTACTTGTGCTCAGATTGCGTGGTGATGTTGTGATCCACCCTGAGCTTGAACTTGCCTTGTTCTCTTGCTTGTCCCCCGCTTTGCCTATGGTGGTGTGTCAGAACTATATTGTAGGCTGTAGTGGGGCACTCCTTATGGGGTACAGTACTGTTAGGTTTTGCCTATACAAACCTTGTACTGTCCTGGTTCTAGGCATTCTAGTTTCCTACTTTGTCACATGTAGCGCGAGCAACTCCTGTTAACGACCAGGTGGCACAGAACCACGATAAGGAATGGACTATCGCGCATCAGGCCGACACAGTCGCGGCCCTTTGCCGGTAGCTGGAAGAGCAGATACAGGAGGATGCACAAATGCGAGCAGTTGTTGCTGCCCGCCAGCCGCCTACCCCAGCAACGACCGGCAGTCCCGGCCCATCATCATCCAACCGCCAGACTACCGCAGCTGGTGTTGGTGTGCTTCACGCAACAGCACAGCGCAACCAGGGCTAATCTTTTGTTTTCAGCAACCCTTGTGATCAGTGTTGCACAAGTCCAAATACCTTATTATCAGTGTGACACCTTGTTCAATCCCTAATCCATCAGGGCTTTCCTAGTTTTTGAAAATTATACCTTGTAGGATCAGTGTACCATTTTTGCA